TACGTGAATATAAATATATTTTATTATTATTAAAATAAATCAAAGATCTCTGGAGTTTAATATAGTAACCTTCACTCCGGAGTCTTTTAATGACAATGGAGGTCCTCCGGAGGTCTATGTCCAAAGATCTTCAGAGATCTTTGCTAAAAAATTTCCTGATGTTGTAATATGCCTTTTCTGTTGCATAGTGATTAGATTGGCTTTTAACTGATTTATTGTCCTTGTATATTAGCTTTCCTTTTCTTTTGGAATATTTCTTATTAACTTTGGTATTGTTTTTTATACTCCACCATGTTTTGTATTCAAAGAGCTCTATATAAAACAATAAGACTTTGTTAAGGTCATTTTGACTTTCAAAACCAATAATAGCAAAGCTTCTCTTTTTTCCAGTTTTACTGTTTGTTGGAATATATACTGTTTTGGCTTTAAGATGCTTGGTAGCACTTTTTATTCTTATAACTAAGGTTGTTTTATCAATTCCGTAAAGTTTTGTTATAACTTGATTGTAAGTTTCCAGGATCGAGAGGTAATTTTCCCATAAAATGATTCTTGCCATTGTAGTATTCAAGGGTATGGACCATATTGAGTTTAGATTTGTTTTAGTTGTATGAAAATGAATTATGGCACCGTTGAAATTATTATTTCCCTTGATTATTTTGATTGAGCTGGATTCTTCATATTTCTTGATTATATGTTGGATTTTCTTGGATATGTAATCTGCTGGAACATTTATTAGAATCATTTTTGTTGTTTCTATTGTCGAAATTACAAAGCTGTTATTTGAGTTTTCAGATGAAATATATAAGAGTAAAATATTGTTATTGGTATTGATAATAATACTTTGGAAGTGAAAAATGTTTTGAAGTTGTTGTTTGCAGGTAGTGACATTTGCTGAGTTATTAAAATTCAGGATTATTTATTTGCTACTTCCTATTACTAAAACTTGAATGCCCTTGTGTTCTATAGGGACTTTTAATATTTCTGTGACTTGTTGAAATTGTTTTTCTCTTGACTCATAGTTGAACTTTGCCATTTTTGTTTAAGTTAAATGGATTTGTCTTCTTTTTGGATAATTCTACGATTACTGCTTTGCTTGAATCAGATGTGTCTTGATCTCTTTTATTTTTATTGTTATTTGATTCTTGAATTGTGACTAATCAAATACTTCCTTTGTTTTTTTGATTGACCTTGTTTAAACAGTTTTCTAGGTTTTTTTTATGTTCGAAGTGGATAGTATACCATCTGTTTCTATTTCAAAAAATTAATTGAATCAAGTGTTGGTTTTTTGGTAGAAGTTTGAGTATGTTAGTTAGAAATTTCAACTGTTCTGCTTTGTTATCTCCTGGTGTTACCACCATTAGAATTCCAGCTTTATAGGAACCTTTTTTGCTGATATAGAAGAGATTTTGTGGTGAGTATTACTTGTTTCTTGTTGTATAATCTTGTATAGTTCTAATGTCTTTTTTGGATAGATTTGATAATATTGATTTGCTGTCTTCATTAGATTTATTGTGATCCTCTATGGTTACTTCAGAGATTTGAGACTCTTCTTTAATCATTTTATAGATTGTTAGTTGAACCTCCATGTCCATTTCCTAAATAGAAAATTGAGTTGCCTCTTGTATCATATTAAGATTAAGATTGTTGTTTTCTATATTAGGTTGACCAGTGGGAATTTAACTTCTAGATCTTTATTTTGCTGATATAGTGAGTCTTGAACTGAATGCAAAATATTTATGATTTGGAAAATTTGTTGTAAATTCTCTAGTATGTATTTGTTTAGTATATTTATATCTAGTTGATTGAATGTCCATATTTGTTTGATATATTTTTTGGCTAACATCCATTTGATCACTGTATGAGAGTTAATGTTAAGAATCCTGGCTGCTACTGCATCTATAACTGTGATGTTTATGATTACACCTAGATCTGCCAATTTTAAAGCTGTGTTTGTTATACTATCTTCAATTAAGATATGAAACCATCTTTGTTTTCCTTTAATATAGTTGTCTTCTAATATTTTGAGATGGTTTATTATTGGGTTTTCTATTTGATTAAACTCTATTTCAATTATTGTTTTGGACTTTTGCTAGGTTGACACATATGAATTGACTTGTTATATTGTTTATTTAATGTATCTGTTGCTTAAGACAATTTGTTGTAAGCATGTGATTGTTTTTTTTAATATAAGAGTTTGTAAAAAACATGTGTTTCTATGGGATTTGAAATGTGGAAATGTTTATAAGCCCAGTTGTGCTTTGCTATTTTATTTGTAGTGTTTTCATGTTTGTATTACTGTGGATCTTGCTTTTTAAAGTAAGCGGCTTTAAGAGGATCTGATGTTATTCTAAGCACGTGTTCATATTCTAGTGTTTGCTTATCTGTTTATTTGTTGTTGTTGTTTGGTTTTAGAAAGATACGTATTTGTGTCGCCATAGATCTTTTGAAGAGGTAAACTGCTTTTGGTTTTTCTGCCTTCAACAAATTTTGATTGTGTAATGATTGTTGTTTATTATTGAAAATTATTGAGATCTGTACTTTTCTTTTAATCACAGTATTAAAAATATTTTGGGACCCTTTTGGTTTTATGTTGGTGTGCGAGGTTGCCTGGTTTACCAGGTATGATCTGGCCAGTATAAGATCTTGCTAGTGTCTAGAAATGTATCTAACCTGATACATGACTGGCTAGCAGCTTGTGAAGTATGGTACTGACTTTTTTTTTTTACTTTTACTATAAATTGTAATACTTGTTCTTTCTTTTTTCTTGATAAGAAGTCACAGGTGTCTGTTTATATGTTTTTTTAAAAATAATAAAGAAGAAAGTTAATATACTTTTTGAATCTAAAGTATACTTGTTGTTTATGTTCTTCTTTGTTTTCAAGGAAGTATTGTAAAGTTTTTCTTTAAGTATTTTCCTTGAGTGTTTCTTTAGAGTGTTTTAAAAAGTTGACAAAAAAAAGAAATTTTAGGAATTTTGGGATTTGCAAAAAAGAGTTTTTTTTTTATATTATAGAATAATTTATATATTTAATACAATACTTAATATATTATATATTATTTGTTTTCTATAAAAGAATTTAATAAATAATACAGGCTTGTTTGATTATAAATTAAAAAAATTAATAGAATTATAATAAACAATCAAGTTATTTATCTCTAATTAAATTTATTATGGATTTTATTCAAAATTATATTATAGATTTAAATTATTTTTAATACAATTAGTAAAAAAAATATTTTTAGCATACTTTTATATCTTTATGCATTTAATTTTAATTGAAATCACAAATAAATCTTAAAATTATTTAACATAAATTTTAATATTTTTTTTTAAAAAAATACACGTTAAAAAAAATTAATAATATAATCTAAATTATAAAACATTTGTAAATAGGTTTATTTATTTTAACTTAAAAACAGTAACATTTGGATTAAATTCTTTTAAATAGAAACAAAAGATTAATAAGAAAGTCAAATCAATGATTATAACAAGTGGTTAAATATTATAAAAATAATTAAATTCTGATATTGATCGAATTGACTTTTACAAGTCCCAATTTAAAATAAAAATTTAAGCTTTACAAAAAAAAATTATTATATTACACTAAAATTTTTTTCACGAAGAATAAAATGCTAACTGTACTTTTGAAACAAGTATTAAATATATGTATATATTTTCGAGTCCGCATGAACTTTACTAACTCCTTTGTGAAGACATACAAACCTCCAATTAAAAAAATTTAAAATGTAATATACTCATTCATTTTATATTATTCCACGACAGCCTCGACCGCGTTAGAAGATTGATGAGCCTCACGTTTTTCAATTGTAGAAGACATCACTTGAGACCTAAATGATAGACCTTTTGTGCATTCAATAACTTGCTGATAAATGGAAGTGTGATTTTGATTCATTATAACAGTATTCTATAAATATAAGATAGTTATTAATAAAAGAAGAAAAATTTTGTACTACTTGAAGATGTAAATTTCAAACCTCTTTGAAATCAATTTTCGCGTCAACACGAGTATCTCGAATCAAGTTAACGATCCATTTTTCACCTTCTTCTTTACCTAAATTCAACGTTTGGGACAATCCACTAAAGGCAATTCATAACCCAGGTTAATATTAAACTGCGAATCGCCAATGTATCGACACCTTCATAAGAAATAAGGATAACAAACCTTATATCAATTTTCAAATGAATTCGACAATATGTCTCGGATATCAAATATCGAGCGTTTTCAATGAATTCCATTTTTGTTGCCACAAGGAAAAAATCATTAGAGAGTACTTCCTCACATTCCTTTAACTTATGCTGTGCGCCTTCAAAATCGAACTTAACATAAAGGCTTTCAATAAATTCTGTGATAGGATCTCTATACTCATAACTTTCTTGTTGAATAATTTTAATTAAATCCTTTAAAATATTTTTACGACGTTTGTTGGTTACCACTGCAGTGGTAAGATATCGGAGAATCCATGGACATGAAGTTTGAATAGTATTGATATAAGAAGGATTGAAAAAGACATCAATGATGCTGTCACGTCCCTTGGGATGGTTGAAAAACACAAAAATTGACCAATGGATAAACCACGTGCGTTGTTGGAGCTGGTGCAGGGGAGATGCAAAGTTCTGCAGAAAGCACAAATATTTTAGAATGTATAACAGGCATCGTTTGAAATTAACGAAGGTACCTTCTGATCAATTGTTTCTCTCAACTTTTGGACTTCTTCTAACGCAGCGTCAGCATCCCAGTTGGGATCCAAGATGTCTGATGCAAGCTTTCCCCATAGAGCAGACAAGATGAGCTCATGATCTGTAGACTAAACAAATTATCGAAAGTTATAGTACTGAAATGAATCATCAATAAAGATTCAACAAAAGCAAAAGACGAACCAATATTCGGAAATGGTACAACAGAGAGGAGGCACCTCCGTAGTTTCCACAATTATATTGGAATTGGGCAAATTGATATAAAGTGTAAACCATTTCATCTGTGAGCTTGGATAGACGAATGTAAACTGGTCGATTAAAGAATCATAAATATTATATATGAAAGAATAATATTTCTCTTACTCCATATTTTTCCCTAAGAAAATGCAGATTCTGGAGTTTATCCTGACGAAGAGCCGTAATTACTTCCGGGTTTTCAATAATATCCAATACCTTTTGTGCTTCTGTTTGAAGATTTTCTAATGTTTGAAGCACTTCTTGTCTTTTAATGGCAAATTCTAGATACATGATTGATAAGAATTAAAGGAAATTCCTTCCGCCTACTTGATAAAATATAACAAAATTTACCTGATGGCACTTTGTCGGTATTATGGATTTGTTTATACAATTCTGAGATAAAATCGACCATATTGGTCTTAGCTAATAACTCATATTTGGCTTTGAGAAGATCATGATCGGGATAGATCTGACAAAAAGAAAAAAAATGAATTTTTCACGTCCTTTTCCAGAAATACGCGTTTTTTTATACTGACCTTATTGAACGATAAGAATTCTAGTAAGGGAAAGACAAGGTGTCTATCCATATACGGAATCATACGAGGAATCAGGTCATAGGATGCCATTTTCAAACACCTCGAAAAAAGTTTATTCTTCGCGATGGCCTTAGATCTTATTAGATCTACATCCAGGTTGGAACTGAGTTAAAAATTTTTTGATTGGTTGTCACTCGATTGCTTCGATGAGATAAATTAATTTTTCTTCACTTTCATCATCCTCCTCTTCCGATCCATCCGCTGAGACTTTTAATGTCTTGGTATGTACGATCTATTCTTGTTTTAATATCTCATATTAGATTATTTGCGAAAATTTAATAGTGTAATCGGTGTTGTTGTTGTATTTTAATTGAACGAACGTTTTTGACTTCGTTTAGTTCTATTTCTGTGCTTAATGAATTTATATATTGACAAAATCAATCAAAAAATAAGCTCAAAAATTCTGAATTAATGATAACTTGATAACTTAATTATCGACTTCTATAGAAATTTGATCTTCAATTCAATCGATTTTTTTTATATTTATCGTTTCTTTAGTGGCAAAAATGGGACATCAACCACGTAATAGATTTCTTGTTCCTGGGGTTACACGCTATTCCCGCAGCGCAGTTTACGCCAAAAAAGCCTTATACAAACGCAAGAAAACGATTTTGAAAAAGATTGAACAAAACCTTCCAACTACCAAAACAGTTCAAATAAAAGGAGAGAAGAATGGCGGTCAGCGTGTGATTCCGCTCGAAAAAGCACCTAGATTTTACCCTGCAGAGGACGCTCCACGTCCCAAGAAATCTCGTAAAGTCAACAAACCAGCCAAACTTCGTTCTAACATTACTCCTGGTACTGTTCTTATTTTGTTGACCGGCCGCTTCCGTGGAAAGCGCGTTGTCTTTCTAAAACAACTCCAAAGTGGATTGCTATTAATAACTGGTCCATTCAGAATCAATGGCGTTCCGTTGAGGCGTGTCAATCAATCTTACGTCATTGCTACTTCCACAAAGCTTGATATTTCTGCTTGTTCGGTAGGATCTTGTTCATAAAGTTGAAAGAAATTGACGAAGCATCTAAAGTAATTAATAATTTTATTCGATTAGCTCGATAAACTTGATGATGCGTACTTTAAAAGAGAAAAGAAACCAAAGAAGAAAGCTACGGAAGAAGAAATCTTTGGCGAGCAAAAAGTGGTATGCGAATTCACATTATTTAATGGTTATAGTTCGATTCTATAAATTATAATAACCAAATACTATCTATTTAGCAAAAGAAATCACCTTCTCAGACGAGAGTTGGCGATCAAAAAGAAATAGATGAGAAAGTTATTGTCGCATTGAAGAATACACCTCATCTCAAAGATTATTTGCATGCCAGATTTTCGCTTTCGAAAGGTCAATTCCCTCACGCTTTAAAATTCTAATCTTTTGATACTTTATGTTTGTCGAGTATTACGAAAGATAGCATAATATTCCATAAAGTCTTCGTTTTTCATTCATGAACGTGTAACCATTGTAAAAAGTTCATTTTGATTGCGATTTTCCCAAGGATGGAATGGTATATGCATGCATAACCTTGAGTTATATATAAAAAATAACCTTATTTTAATAGAAAAACTTGCTATGTGTCAAAAGGAAGTGTTCTTTTATAATCTATTGAATGTATTAAGTAATTCTATGGTAAGATTTCAAATTTAAAATCGCATAGATTTGCACACAAAAAAATCAAGGAATATATAATTCATTTGTATTGGATATGGGAAATTTAAGACCTTTTTAGATGGCTAATATGCAATTATCTAAATTTAATAGCATTTCATAAAAATCTGAATTGCATCAAAAGTATAATATATAAAAATTTTTAATTCAAAAAAATAGCAATAAAAATAAATTTTAATATTTATTTTTATAAATAAAATTTTATTCAATGAAAAAACTATAACAATTAAATATTAAGATTTATAAATTATTGTATTACAATATAAAAATATAATGATATTGACTTATAATAAACTTAATATATGAGTTATAACCTATTATAATAAACCTATCCCTTAAATCATAGGATATTTTTTTTATAATACTTAAAATTTTTATCTAAAAAGTTGCTTCTTATTAATTTTTTAAATAACTTAAATATTTTTTAAAAAATTTATATAATATTAGTTTTAATTATACATTAATTATAGATAGTATTTATTTTTTATTTAGTTAATAAAAATTTAAAGTTTGATTATAAGCATAGTTTTAATTTTTAAAATAATTTTTTTAATAAAAGTTGGTTTTAAACAAACTTAAAAATTTTTTAAGTTAAAGTTTATATAAGTTATAAGCAGTTTTATAGAATCATTTGTAAACAATAACTTTAATTATTACAATTTTAATAATTTAATTATAAAAATTTTAACTTGTATTAGAAATAAAATAAAATATTGATTTTAAACACATATTAAAATTTTAAACACAAAGTTTAAAGTTATTTATTTTTAAATTTTTAAATTTTTTATTTAATAAAGTTAATTAAAAATATCTTAAACTATATTTTTTATAATATAAATAAATTATAAAAATTAATATTTAAAAATTTATTAAAATTTTAAATATGTAAGCAAATTTACTTATATTACAATTTAAAGAAAAATAAATTTAATATTAAATTAATACTAAAATAATATTGTTAAAAATTTTATTATTAACTCTTTTTTTAAGTGAAAGATGTTATAATACACAGTTTTTATTAAATATTTAATTATAATTTTATATTTTATAATCTTCTTTTTATAAGTTTAATCCATATTTAATATCTTTTTTTTTTTATAGGTAAACATCATTTTTTTATTTAATTTGTATAGTGATAAATATATATTGTAAAAGAAACAACATCTCTCATGTGTAATAGTACAACGAGTTAAATGTTAGCTTGCCTATAGTAACTACTGGACTAATATTGAAAAGAAATTTTAAAACAATATATCTTGTCATAAGGCTCTGAGCAGTTATAATTATCTATTCAACATTAGATGAAAGAAAATTAAAATAATCTGAAATTAATTTGAAAATGTACTTAATGAAATTAAATCCACTTTGGATATAAGAATCAACTACTAATGTAGATAAATCTATAGTAGTTGATGTTGAAGTGAAGTAGTTATTGAGAGATTTGAATTTAGCTGAGTTTTTAATTGCTTGTTTTGATATGTTGTTGTGGGAGTTATTGTTTCATTTGATACCAGTAAGAGGAGAAGTGTTTACTGTGGTGTAGCGAGATATCCAGATTGATTTATATAAATGAGTTAAGGTTTTGGTTGAGGCTTTGACCCAGTTGGAGAAGTTGATAATGGAGAAAATATTGTCAGTAATATCACATGCCAGTTCTGCTAGCTGCCAGGCATGTTCCATATTTAATATCTATAATTTAATTATATTAACTATTATTAAAAAAATAAATCAATATATTAAATAAAATTATTAGAACAAAAAAAAAAAAATTCTTTCCTGTACACAACTTTTTTCTTAAAAAATTTCTTTTATAGTAATTTTTTTCCAAAATTAAAGAAACAAATATTTTTTTCGCCTTTCAATACCCAAAAGTTCTTCACACTTCCTTTTTCTTCACTACAAGAGCCTCAAGGAAACCAAAGAAGTATACTGGAACATCGGGATAAGACCTCTGACCAGAGAAAAGCAAGTTTGGAGGCCTTGCTTTTTCTTTGGATTGTATGAGGAAAGGCCTGTGGCAGTTACTTCTTTATAAATCTTTCTTGGGGTTCTTCCTATTTTCTTTTCTTACCAATACACAAATCTTTTTAAATAACTATACTTTTTGCTTGGAGGACTTCTTTTTATCTCAAAAAACCAGACTTTACATCAAAATTGTTTATATTGTTAACTTGGAGCACCAACAATATATTCAATATTTACTCCTCACTATCACTCAGCATATTTTGCTACGCCACCTAAAACCAAAAATTTTCACTCAAAAAAATTCTTACCAAAAAACTGTAATCAGTTTACTCCTGTCAACTAATCAACATTTCAAATCCAACCAATTAAACACTACCAAATCTCAAAGCAATTTCATATAACCAAAACACCATACAACGATTAACGTAAACAAATTCTATTTTGGCAGTATCAATTAAAACAAAATTACATCACCAAAAAATAAACCAATCACCATACCAACAAAAATATTAACAATCACAACAACAACATATGATCTAAATAATGTGTCAATAATACTATTATTTACTTTGGACAATAGCCTGGCCATTTCTGGAAGTAGCATCCTACTTCAGTTAAATGGATTAACCAGCATGGTGTGCCTAATCCAAGGCATCCTTTATATAATAATCAGTTTTTTTTTCACCTTTTTTCCGATCATTACCAAATATCTAAACATAAACAACTATACCATCACTACTATCAACAATGACTCAAGAAATGGCTATCAAGAGAGTTGTAGCCTGGCCATTCCGGAAAATACAACAGTACTTTAGGGGAGTGGAACTATCAGTGTGACATTAGGCTTTATTTGTATTATAATTAGTTTTTTTGTTATTTTTCTTTCGTTTAGCATTTTCTTTTTTCACTTTTATATTTTCTTAAATTTTATTTCATATAATCCTGAGTAGGTATTCATAGCTGCTCAGCACTATCTTAGATGTACATTGGTTTTAATATTTATTTTCCATGTCACTTAGATAGTTTCTGTAGGCAAGCTAGCATTAGACTTATTAGCTTAGCAAGTTATATAAGAGATGTTGTCACTTTCTCCATGCATAAATTTTAAACAATTTTACGATTAATAAAGTGATGATGTTTACCTACTTGAAAAAAAAAAAATTATTAGAAGGTAAAAATTCTATTATTGGTTTTAAATCACTTAATCTGCTAATTCAATTATGTTAAAAGATATTTATCTTATAAGAATTATTTGTATAATAATTAGATATCTTGATATGTTTTATCTTAAATAATTAAAAAAATAATATATTCAAATAATTTAAGATTGTTTTATTAGCAATTTTATTTAAATTAAAAATATATTAAATTAAAAAATATAAATTTTTTATTAAATTTTTTTATTATTAAGTATTAAATATATAGATTTTATTAAATATATAGATTTTATTAATTATTATTAATTATTATTATTATATTTATAATTTTTATAAAATAAATTAATCAAAACCTACTATATATAAGTAATATATAAAAAACTTAAAAAAATTTTTTTTTAAAAAAAAGATAAGTAAAACCCAATTTTTAATTATTTTATTAATTACTTATATATAATTGTTATATAATAATAATAATATAAAAAAAAAACTCTCACCCGTTCACCGCTAATTTTTTAAAATTTCTTTTTTAGGAAATCTTCTTTCAAGAAGCGTCTCACTTTCTTTATTTCCTAAGGCAATAAACTTTAAATCCAAAGGACATAAATACTTTAAGAAACACTGTTGCATTGGGATGGGACCTCTGGTCAAGATCTAAGCAAGTTGGGAGTCTTTTTTAGCTCTTGGTTGCATGGGGAAAGGCCTGTGGCAGCCTTCCTTCATAATTTTTTGTCTTTAGATACCTTCCTTTTTATAACCATAATAATTGCTTTTTCCCTTACATTTCTCTCTCTACAATACAAATTCAATCTTAACAACACATTCAAACATAGTTACTGGGTCTAATGTTTATCTCAACACAATCTTTGCAAATTTTTTTATTTTTTTTCTTTTCTATCTAAATATCAATACTATAGCATATTCCTACATTTTTTCACACTCTTTTCAAATCTACTCAAAAACCAAAATCAGTTTCACCTCATCCAAAGATCTACACTCTACAAACGACCAATAAAATTTCTCTATCCTTAATGACAATACCAAACCTGTTCAAACTCATTTACAATTAGCCTTCTTTTAACAAAAATTCCCACACTTAACAACAATACTAATCACAACAATACAACAATATTGACAACAAAAATGATCTAATAACTTACTGGATTGGGAGAGCGCATGACCTGTACCCTGCATGGGTTCCAGTAATCTTTACTTTACATGTATCCAAACAACAAAACAAGCAATTGGAGCAGGCTCCAGTTATCCGACCCACTTATATCTCAATCACAACACTCTTTTTTCAACCACATGACTTTTTATTATCTCAACAATGGAGTTGTGACCCACAAGCAGCAATGCTACCATTAAAGAAAAAAGGCAGCCAAAGCCTAACCAATATGAGTAAAAGTCTAATACTTTTATTGCGAGTGGAAATGAGATATCAGGGAGTTGTGCCTCGTAATTTGGCAGCTTAAGCCAGTGCTTTTCTACTGCTGCTGGAGTCACATCTAGCTATCGAAAAGGAAGCGGTAACCTAGGTAGACACATTTGGTTTGTGCCCTGCAGGAGGGATTGTTGGTTCA